TCTCCCCCTATCTTCTGTAACCAAAATCTCTGACTGAGAAGTGGAGGTGTCTTGAGATCTTCTTCTTGCTTCTTCATTCAAGATACCGCTCTTGACAAACTCCATGGTCACAACACCGTTGGGAGCAGAATTGGTCAAAGAAATTCGAAATGTTTCCCAAGAATCAGGTAGAGTGTTAAGTAACCAGAGACCAAGTACCTCATCCTCAAATGTGATGCCCATGCTTGACAAATGATCAAGAACACCCTGGAAATCATTAACATGATCATTGATCAATGTACCTTCCCTGTATCTTAGATTCATCAACTGCTTTAACAAAAACAACTTGTTATTGCCTGTTTTGGAAGCATACATGGTCTCAAGCTTATCCCACAGGCTCCTGGCATTCGTCTCATTAATAACATGGTTCAGAACATTGTCTTCGACCCATTGTCGAATATAACCACAAACTTGTTGGTTATCAAAGTCCCACTCCTCGTCTGACATATTTGTTGGCTTTGCACTTGCAAACACGGGTAGATGCAATTTCTTCACAAACAGGAGATCCTTCATCTTGGCCTTCCAAATGTGAAAATTTCTACCATTCAAGCGCACCATATTGATCGTATTTACCTCCATGTCAAATGTACCCGATCAACAACCAGGGCTCTGATACCACTTTGTTGGGAAAAATCCCACTACCTGTGATAAATAAAATCACAGGACCGACAAGAGTGCAAATACGATATGGTACAAAATAGCCAAAAATAAATAATAGACACAAGGGACACAAGATTTACGTGGAAAACCCCAAAACCACGGGGAAAAACCATGGACCACCACCAACACAATATTCCACTATAACAAATCTTGGGTACAAAGTTGCTGGCTACCACCCGAGCCAAACACCCTAAAAATATCAAATACAACAACTCTAGGCCAAATACATTCTATCACGTTCACAGGCCTAAAAGGAATAATATCTCGTACTCAAAATATTCAACCACCACGAGCAAGGTGAATAGAATACAAATATTACGAGAATATCCAAAAAGATGCCTGGAACAAATAACTGACCTCTACAAAATATTTGATAAAGAAAGTACCTAAAAGATCTAGGCAAACCCACGACAAAGTAGCACAAAATGAAGAAGAAATAGAAGTTGCTTCTTCCGCTGCGCTGCGTACTGCCGTGAAGAAGGAAGAAGAAGAAAATGAATTTCTTCTTTCTTTGTCCACTGCTTTAGCCGAAAAGCTTGTGGAAATTTGTGGTGTTTAGAAAACAAATGAATTGTCCTCCTTTATAGTTGCTGAGCTGCTGCCAAAATGGGAATAGAAAGAAATAAACTTTCAACCTTTCACATGTGCAGCCGAAATGGGAAAGAGTGAAGATAAGGAAATTTGATTTTCTTGTCTTCACATGCTGCCAAAAGTGAAGAAAATATTTCCCCAACTTCTGCTCAACTTATGCTCCAACTTCCACCAATATCACATTTTCCAAGACAATTAATAATTGTCAGCAAACTTCTCCAACAAGCTCACAAATATATTAATATATTATAGTGGATAAAAATAGGCTTGGTCCAAATTGAGCTATTTACCACATAGGAGGGAAGCCCCAACCCAACAGAAATGACGTTTTTAGTTATTGAATTGTTTTATAATGACTAATTCAGTTCTTAAATTTTTCTCATAGTAACTTTCTACCATTCAATTGTTATCTAGTGATTTAAAAAAAAATATCCATGAGTCCAACATCTGTTATGCACATGGGTCAAATCACACTAAAAATTTGAATTCAACCAAGTGAGGTACAAACAACAGCAATTGCGTATGGAAAACGATGAGGTGATTGGAGATTTTTGTGTACTGAAGTGATGAGTCTCAGTGTTGTACTATGCTTACTTCCACTGGATTACTCATCTTGTGACTGTTACTGATGCGTAGTATATTTGCAAACAAATAATTCTCGGAGTACGAGTTATCGATCCACAGGGAAGTGGTTGTATCAAGCACTAGTTACTAACTTATTCATTAGAGCTAATCCTAACAATTACTTAGATGATTGATTGGCATAAAAATAAATAAAAATAAAACAGAGGTTCAGGATTTTGAAAACAATTAGAGAGAAGTTGAGATTCATGGGATTCAAGTATTTAATCACCTAGTGCCAATTATCGTTTGCAATATTTAGTTTGGAATTAAGATTTGTGTGGGAATGCAAAGTGGAATCGAGTTACTCCCGTAATCTCTATTCCTAGTGAATTTCCACTCCCATGGCTTAAACACCCAATAAGATCAAAGATCAGCATTCAATTATTCCTAATTACTACCATCTCCCGATTGGCAACAATCTAGAATAAACTTCCCCTAATAAGTTCCCCTTTCCCAATGACCAACCATTAGGTGCAATCGTGTGTGCCCTAATTTATGCCCCAACTCCCATTGGTGACACAAACATGGCTATGAAGCTAGTAACTATGGCCATTAATTACAAGCATCAAACAATATTATCACGATTGCAACACAAGTATTAAACCCAAATAATAATATATTAAAGAAACTGAGAGCTCAAGCACATAGGTTCATAAACACTTTTACCCAAGAATCTCTAAAGAATTTAGCCAAGCATGACTAAATTATACATAGCAAATATAAATAAAGAATTACAAATCATCAAAAGAGTACAAGAATTAACCAGACGATTTTCCCAAATCTCCCTAGTCTTCTTCTTGCTTTCCAAGACAACTTGTGGCTCTTGATTTCTCTCCTTCTTGTCTCCAAGAATCTCTGAATTCTCTCCCTGTCCCCCGTCTCTCTTCTTAGGGTTGAGGAAGGAGGGATTTTATAGTGGGTACAAAGTTGAGATGAAATAGGAATCTTGTACCAAATTGGACTCAAATTCTAATTCCTATATTTAAATAAAGAAATTGCCGTCTTTAATGATATTTAGAATTTGGAAGATTCCTTGAATTGCTAACTTTTAATATGGAGATATGAGCATTGAAATCCGTGCAATTGATATTAGGAAAAGAAATCTCGCGCTTGTATTGAATTTTGCCCAGCTGCGCCACTTTAGGCGTCTGTTTTTATCCCAGAAATAGACGCCTATTCTCTCGACGCGTCGAGAATTTTCTCCACGCGTCGAGACTTCCTGTGCGCGAATTAGTTAGCTACTGGAAAATTTCGACGCGTCGAGTCCACTGGGCCCCGAACTCATCCAAAATTGCTCCAAACTCATCCTTGAACTTCCCTTGCTCATAGAATTGACCTACAATGGTTCAAAAACACTAACAAACACCGTAAAACATTCAAAACAAGTACGAACCATAATTAAATGATAATAGCAAGGAAAACCTATATTAAATAAGCAAAATTAAAGAACTTAATTACTATGATGATTCAAAATAACCATAAAAACAAGCACAGATGTGATAACATCAGTTACAAGTCACCACAGAGTTCTTTGGCTATCTGGTTGTCATATCTTACTTAAAACCAATTGGTGATAAGTAGGTGGACATTAACCATTTAACCACATCCTTCCATGGTAAGCTACAATGTCACGTCTCGATCAAGCATGGGCATGCTGAACTTAGCCAACTCGGCCAACGCTCAACAATCCCCCTCCCAGCACCTGCCGCAGCCTTTGAACACCTAGCCCAATTGCACAGCATGCCTGACTCGGTCCTTAGCCTCCGCACCCACTGACCCTTCTTGGGACTAAACTCGGCCTTAGCTTTCACTTCGCCATCGATTCAAACTCGTGACCTCGGCTCTAATCTGATACGAATTGATGGATCTCAGCACTGCACTATGCTTACTTCCTAGTGGGTCACCCCCATTCTGTAACTGCTGACCCATCTTGTAACTATTGTAAGTCAATCACGCTTAACCACAGAGTTCTTTAGCTATCTGGTCGCTTTCTCCAATGTTGCCTTCTTAGTGTGAGAAGGCAACTCAGTGGTCGCCTTCTCACTTTGTGAAGTTTGGGTCACCTTCTCAACCTTCTCCATTGGAGAAGGCAAGCGACTAGCGACCGTTTGAAGTCTTCGGTTGCCGGTATTAATCCTCGGAGCATCGCTGGAGTGTTGTCAAAATCTAGTGACCTGCTTTTACAAGTAACTAATAGGATTTTGTGTTTCAATGCACCAAAATAACATGTTTATGAACTTAATTGCATTTTTTAAAAGTTTAGGGACTCAATTAATTTTTTGAGTAAAATTTAGGAGCTTATTTAACTATTTTTCTTTTATTTTTCAAAAATCATTTTTAGAAATAAGTTGTAGAAATTCTTTTTTCGTATTTTAAACGGACCCTCAAAATTTTATTATTTCTTTTAAAAGAGTTTTTAATGCTCTGAAAGTAAAATTTGAAATTATATAGAAAATTTAGAAATAACCGATATTTTTGAATGCTCCGGAAGTAAAATCTGAAATTATATAGAGAATTTTGAAATGGAGTGGTGGACTCATATTATACTCATAACTTTTACTTTCTCTCACATGTTTTTGATGTAAACACTTTTTTGTGGGTTCACATGATGAAATATAATCAATACTTATTTACCACCTTATGAAATAGAAATAAGAGAGTAGAATTTGAAAGTATGCATAATACAACTATTTTTCCAAACATAATACAACATTTTTAGAAATAAATACTAGGAATTCTTTTTCTATATTTTAAATGGAGCCTAAAATTTTATTATTTTACTTTTTTAAATGCTCCAGTAGTAAAATTTAAAATTATATAGAGAATTTTGAAATGAGTTATACTACATGTACTCTTAAATTCTATTCTCTCAATAGGATAGCTCAAGTGGCAAATGAGCTCTCTTTGTGGGGGGAGAATTCTGAGTTGGACGAGAGAAATTATATTCTCTCACTTTTTATAATACGGCAAGTAAGGATGAGATATTTTTAGCACGTAAGTTACAAAAAGTGTATATTATAAATTTGTGAGTGAAAGTAGAAAGTGGGAATAGTATTTTCCTTTTGAAATAGCCGGTTTGATCTAAATGGCTAAAAACAGCATTTGCCCGTTATCTTTTAACTAACAGAACCAACTTTATCCAATTATTATAGCAGAAGAATGCACTCTCTGCAAACTCTTTCCTCTTTCTTCTTCACATTTTCATCGCCTAAAACCCTCGCAAAACCCCATCTTCGCGTCCAATTGTTTCCCACCCCCCTTGCCGCCAAACCCACCCTCACCTCCGCTAGCTGCTACAAGTCCGATGAATTCCCGGTCGGCGAAGACGACGAAGCCTTTCTCCAGTCCTTCAGGCCAAAAGAGAAAGAATCCGAAGAGGAAGCTCGACGCCGTAACTGGGTCGAGCGAGGCTGGGCTCCCTGGGAGGAAATCCTCACTCCGGAAGCTGATTTTGCTCGGAAATCCCTGAATGAGGGAGAGGAGGTCCCGCTTCAGTCGCCGGAGGCCATCGAAGCCTTCAAAATGCTCAATCCTAATTACCGGAAGAAGAAAATTGAGGAGATGGGGTTAACGGAAGACGAGTACCTCGCTAAGCAGTTCGAGATAAAGGGAGAAATCCCCGAGCCTCTGACAACGTCGTGGGCCGGGCCGCTGGTGGTCCGCCACGTGCCGCCCCGGGATTGGCCTCCCAGGGGATGGGAGGTGGATCGGAAGGAGCTGGAGTTCATTAGGGAGGCGCACAAGATGATGGCAGAACGGGTTGACTATAGTAAAGTGGAGGAGATGGTTCTCACGGAAACTGATGACATGAACTTGGAGAGGTATAGTGTGTTCTTGAAACAGTACAAAGAATGGGTAGCCGCTAACAAGGATAGATTGGAAAAGGAGTCATATAAGGTAGATGGATTGAGAAGTTTTTCATTCCTGGTGAATTGGTCTTTCATTATGCTTGTTGACAGAAGAACATTTTGTTCTAGAGTAAAGGACTGTGGCTAATTGGGCAGGACTCATTTATTTTTAAAATTTTGGATATTATTAGCTAGGATTATGCAGCACTTTGTGGGAGTTACTCAAGTCATGTTTTCTAATTTGTGTGCAGTATGACCAAGACTACTATCCTGGTAGAAGGAAAAGAGGAAAGGATTATGAGGAGGGAATGGTTCGATAGATGATATTCCTCTCCATGGTTTTGCAATTCATATTAACACATTTATCATACCTGACCGTTTTTTGTTTTTTGTTTTTCTTTGGCAGTATGAACTTCCCTTTTTTTACCCAGGACAAGTAAGCGATTCTTCCTTGTAATTCTCCTCTGTATTCCTTTTGCTTATGTTTTTAACTTTACACGGTTGACTTTATTCAATACATATTTTTCTTGCCACATTCATGGATTTGTTAAGTAATAGGCTATACAAGAATAAGATAATTAAAGATTATTTTCACAGATAAGAATTGTAGTTAAAAATAGGGAAAGTTGTACTTTTGGTCCCATAATTATTATCACTTGTGCTAAATGATGAGTGATGAATCTAGATTACTTTATGTATCTTTCTTAGCCTATAAATACCTTACTTGCACCACATTCTATCAAGTTAATTATCAGATGTATCTCTAGTTCTACTTCTAATCTCTTGCTTTATCTTCCACTTTACCGGGAGGTTGTGGGGCCTTTCCACTCACTAAACCTTCCAATTTATTATCTCTTGACATGGTATCAATGTCACCCACTCACCTTCCTGTAGCTGTACTCTAGCAATTTCAGGTGAAATACTGCAAACACTGCCAAAATCAGTGCTCTGTGAATTGAGAAAATTTAGCCAAACCAATGTACGCATTCATGTAAGATTTTTTTAATAAAAAATAAGAAATGAGAATGTATTATTTTATAATTACTAAAAATATGCTAACAAATGAACCAACAAAAAAAATGAAAAGAGTTATGTCTAGACTCTTTTAAGTACCTCTCTTAGCCTATAACTACTAGACACATAACTCTATTTGTCTGTTCTTCACTTAGTCTCTTGATTAGCATAATAGCAAATATACCTTTTCCCTTACCAGATGGTGGTTGCTCCTTGCCACCTTTCAAACATTCCAACTAAATCCAACTTATTATTGTTGTTGTTGTTTAACAAGGTATTAAAGCCACGTTCCTGTGGCTTTCTAGCAGTTTCAGGCAAAGTCATTGTTCAAATAAACAATGACCTGTAATTGTAAACCAGACAGTCAGCATGATCAGGGCCCTGACTTGAGAAAATTTAGCCCAACCATTGTCACACATTCATGAAATATTGTCAAATATAAACAATATAAAAGAAAAAGGTTAATTTATATAGCACTAACAAATGAACTAACAAAAAATAAAATGAAAAAGTATGAATCTAGACTCTTTTTATGTATCTCTCTTAGCCTTCAAATACTACTCTTGTAACTTATTCTATTGTAAGTTAATTATCAATTGATAAACAGTGTTGCTTCTTGCCATCCACAATATCTTCAATCTCTTTTCTTGCGCCATAGCATCAAAGCCACCTTCCTGTGGCCTCCTCCAAACAGTTTCAAGTGATGTCCTCATTCACTTGAATAATACTTTGGCTAGTATCCCATATATCAGTCTGTTGGTTTAACCAGTTACTTGAATAGAGACATATTAACCCAGAATATTATGCATTTTGCTGATTTTCAAATTATTGCATGGGATCTCAGGGGCTATGGATTAGTTGAAGATCCATAATCCCATAACTATCACATGTTCTAAAATGAAGGGTTAATATAGACTATTTTTATCTTTATAGCCTATAAACACTAGGCTCTGTATCTCATTCTATTAAGCTACTTATTAATCTCTATATCTCTTGATCTACTCTAGTTCTTGCTTAGCACATATACCTTCCACCCTACTGATTGGTGGTAGCTCATTGCTATCTACCAGACGGTCCAGACATACCAACTTATTATTTCTTAACAGTACAGAATGTGTTAAGAAGAGTCTGTAAGAAATGAAAACATAACAGACTTGAAGTTTGTTATTTTCTGGTGCACTTCTGTATTTATTTAATTTTTAGGGTGTCGAGAGTGGTGGTGAGTGCCTGAGTGGTATAGGGCTGAAAAAAGTCATGGGTTAATTTAAGTTGAACCCAGGATTCTTTACTTGAATATTATCAAATACAGAGTAATACAATTGATATCACATGATTGCTAATAAAATTGTAAGCTTAGTGAAATCTTTTTTCAGATTTGTGCAGGTAAAGTGACTGCTGTACACCTTTATCAAGGGGCATTTGTAGATATTGGGGGTGTCCATGATGGGTAAGCTTCTGATTACTTTCCTAATCTGTGCACATGGAAGCATTCAATGAATAGAAATCTTTTTATATTTCTTGTTTTACACTTTTTTATTATTAGAAGTATGTTAAGAAATGTTGAATGTAGGATGAACTTGCCCTATCCGTCTTGCTACTATAGGAAAGTCATTGCAAAACTTTTGTGAGTAAAGAGTAAAAGACAAAACCTAAGTACACTGCATTGGGTTTAAAGTTGAACAGTGTTTTGTGCTTTGGAAACTTCATTGCTTTATGCAAGTTGCAAAGTGCATGCCTATATTCTGGTCTTGAAGGCACTTGTGAAATCCAACGCTACTACTTCAGGAGCTATGAGAATATCTGCTTCTAGAGTAGAATTCCCATTCCAGGCTTTCTTGTTCCCAATTTCATCTATACATATTTGCTTGCACCAAATGTCCACATACAGTTATTTTTTTAATATTTCCATGAAAATTTAATTTTAGTCTATAACTTTTTATTTTTCTTTTATTTTTTAGGAGCTCAATCCGTAGTGTCTTATAGAATAAGGGATTTATATCCTTTATATTTGTGGAAATTTATATGATGATATTCATACTTGATGCATTTGTTTGAAATTCATAATGCAGTAGTAAATTTTGTTTTCTTTTTATTTTGTATTTTAAAATGCCTTCCAGGTGGGTTCCTATAAAGAGAAATGACTGGTTCTGGATCCGACATCACATAAAAGTTGGTATGCCTGTCATTGTTGAAATTCTGGTGAGTGACATTAACCTAATTTGAATGATATCTATCAATATTTTTTTCTAATTGTACAATTTTACTTGCAAGGTTTTATTTGTTCGTTTTCTCTCAATGCAATTATAGCTGAGTTCTTTGAGTAGAACTCTATTTTGAAATGCTTTTCATTTTAAATTGTTTTGTTCTGGAAAATTCTAAATACTGTTCAAGATACCTAATTAATTAATTAATTAATTAATAATAATAATAATAATAATAATAATAATTATTATTATTATTATTATTATTATTATTATTATTATTGTTATTGTTATATGTTATATTGGTAATATAACTGTGCATTTATGTGATTTCTTCCTTTCACAGGCAAAAAGAGATCCTTATCGGTTTAGGTTCCCAATTGAGATGCGCTTTGTTGATCCAAATATAGATCATCTAATGTAAGATTCTTTCATCTAGTGATAATAAATATCTTTGCCTATGCATACCATAGTCTAGTTGATCCCTTTGAGGTTTTGACAAAATAAGAGAGAACATATGGGTTTATAAGGCCATGAGTTAGACTTGCTAATTGGTTGGATTCAATCTTTTAGTGTGGTTTGGCCCATGTGCATTATAGCCCAGTTGAGTGATCCTGACCAAATCTTAGATTATAACAATGTTCAAGGGCCATTAATGGGTGTGTGTAATTTTTGCAAGAAGAGGGAGCCCAATTGTTAATATAAAAAATTAAAGTGTGTCCTAGTTTATGCACTAATGTGTATTAACTTGCAAAATACAAGATTCTTCTCCTCCTCCATACTATTGACCAAACTCTTCACATTGCATGTCAATAAGTGATTGTTTTGAAAGGTTGTCATATTCGCTGACTCCTGGGTTGCTTCATGTGTATTGATGCATGCAGCTTCAATAGATTTGATTCTCCGCCAATATTTCATCGTGATGAAGATACAAATCCAGATGAATTACGTGTGAGTACCTCTACTGTGTGAACTAGATATAAATCATACTTCATTTTTTCCACTAATCATAAATCTGGTTTTCCAAATTTAGACTCATTTCCCATGGAACAGCATCTGAAATTGAAGTTATAGCTTGTACATGAAAGCAAATCTAGAAAGGGGTGGTGGAATATTTTCTGCATTTTCTCATTTATATTTACTTATTAGTGATTTTGGTCTAGTAATAGATACAGTGCTCGGATTTCAATTAGAACTAAAGCTGTCATCCTTGATACGGAGTATGATAGAACAAAGGCATAATAATACGTAATCTTTCCACTTGAAATCTCATGTGAGCTTCTAGCTATTCTAGTTGCATCAATTTCAACTGTTCAGAACTCCCAGCCAATTTTTCAATGTATAACAGTTAGATAGTATGTCATTCCTATAAGTTATGTTCAGCGTTGGAAGTATTGAATCTAATTGAACTTTGATCATCAGTTGTTTCCAAGTTTAATAAGAACTTTAATGTTGTTATCTTCAACGCGGACATAAATCTCTCCCACATTTTGATATTCTTGCCAACCCTGCATTTATTAGCATAAACCTGAAGCTTAAAAAAAAATGGTACATGATGATTTAAGTGCTTTTAGGTGCCAAATCTCAATTATACGTATGTTTTCTGTTCTTAAATACCTACTTTCACTTCATACTTGTGTTGCAGCGTGATTGTGGAAGACCTCCTATTCCTAGGAAAGACCCTGGAGTTAAAGTGGAAGAAGAACCATTGTTATCAAATCACCCTTATGTTCAGAAGGTAGTTTTGCCATTTAGCATAGCTCTTCTTATTATGAATCTTTAGTCATTTCTTATCTTCATTTTGCTTAGTTCAGTTATCTTTAGTTTTTATTTTAGTTAGCATATCTGGTTTAAGAGTTGAAACCTACAGATAAGTTGTTGAATACGTTCTTCATACTGAAGATGAGAATCTAGGTAACAAGGACACAAACCTTAGACTTAATACTGGTTGTTTTGAGCTCAATTTAACATTTCCCACTTTTGAGAGTAACTCGTGACATCCACCAGATTATGGCTGTTTTAGCCATCTCATTAGATGATCAAAGTGTTCCAACTCTCTGCTTTTATTTTCTTACCATGGAAATATGAGACAATTGGTTGACTATATATTTATATGTATCTTTATCCATGATGCAGTTATGGCAGATCCATAATGCTGAACAATTGATTTTGGATGACATGGAGTCTAATCCTGATAAATACGAGGGCAAAAAGCTGACTGAGTTAACTGATAGTGAAGAATATAACAAAGAAAACAGTGTTGAGTACACCAAAACTTATTATCAGAATTCTCTACTTCCAAAAATGATTGTGGTATGCACTTCTCTCATTAATTCATTTTGTGTATTTGGTGATGAATCTATTTGGCACTGATCTTACCTTTTCTGGCAGAAAGTAAGTGTTAAGGATCTTGACTTAGAAGCTGCCCTTATTGAGCGCCAGGTTGGTAGTAAACTTGACTCTTCTTTTCCATAACTGGAATAGATCTAATATTTGGTGTAACCTGTACATCAACTTTATGAGCAGTGTCTTATTGGCCTAAGAACTATTGAATGTATAACCCTTGTGATTCATCTTGTTTTCTTTCATAATGCAGCATCATATTAAGATGAGTAACGAAGCAAAAGAACGGGGAGAACAATACAAAATTACCAAGTTGAGACGTAATGTTGAAATGGATGAATATGACTTTATCCATTGGCGTCGGTCATTGGAGGAAAGAGAGGCTCTTCTCAGAGATATTAGCTGGTATTACCTCCTTTTCTCTTGCAGACCCAACCTCACACTCATAGGAAGAAAAGAAAAGTAAAGACCACCTCACTTGCCCCATGCACCCCCGGTCCCAAGATTGAGGGGTGGGACATGATCAATTAAAGAAACATGAAACATGTCTATATGGTACATCAAGTGCTTGTTTCTCCGACTATGTTACAAGATAGACAATCTGCTTATTGGGAGTGAGGAAGACCACCTAGAAAGGCTAGAAAGAGAAACAAATTACAATTCTTAATCTGGGATGAACTATCTATATATTTGTTGTATTCACGTAACTCATTGCTAGGAACCACCATAACATGGCAAGGGTTTTAAGAGTTTGGCCTCTTTCATTATTTGGGTCAATTGGGTGTTAGGTAATGCATGCCATCATCTTCATTTTCATCTAGTATCAGCATTACTTCTATGAATGAAATGCTGCTGAAGTTATTAATTCTAAAATATTGTGAATGCTTTTATTATTATAATGAAAAGCTTGAATGATGCTCTTGCAGCCGTAAAGCACTTGGGCTTCCACTAGATGAACCTGGCAGGTATATTGATCCTAGCATTTTAGGGAAGGATGAATATGATCCTGAAAGCCCACTATATCGTTATGACTATTGGGGAGAACCAAAGAATTCAGAGAGGAGCAAGCAGGTGCGGGCAACAGATGCGTACAATAAATCCATAGTTGGAAATGGTACTGTTTGGTATGAAATGTCTTATGAGGAAGCCATCAAGCAGCAGATCCAGAGGGAAGCCCAAGGTCTTGGGCAGAAGATGGAAGATGAAGCCAATGAAGAGACATATGAGGACGACAGTGATGACGACGACTTTGATTACAGCATACTAGGAGGCCCGAGTGACGATTTTTCCACCCAACCTCATGTCAATGGTACTGAATCTTCTAGGTTGTCAGATGAAGGAATGTTTGAGGATTAGGTGTAAATCTGTAATGGTATGTGACGAAGTGAAGAAGATATATGATTAGTGAGAACCCCAGTGGGTGGCTGTAGCATTGAGTGTAGTATGTATTAGCGTCTTCATTCACTGAAAATTTTGGCATTCCTTTACAACTTTCCATTGATTGGTTTTTGTGTTCCCTACACCTGCCTGGAATGAAATTATTTTTACATCTCCACCTTGTAATTTTAATCACTTGCATATATTTCTTCACACATTTCCTCCCTAATTCTGCTCTGGAACTTCCCCCTTTCTTCTCTAATCTCTCCCTTTCTGAAGCTTCCATTTTTATTCTTTCAAAGTCAAGAATACACCTATGGATGTATAATGTTGCAATATAGAAACAACGCTCAACTCTGCATTTATTGGATAATAAACATATTTGCAAACTTTTACAATAAATATATTATGTGACTTAGAGCATCCCCATTAGGGGAATTGTTCACAGTATTTGAGAAAAAATGTTACCATGGATGAAAGAGAAACAAGAGAGAGAGAGTGTATGAGTTATTTCTGTTATTTTGGTGATTTTGCCAGTTGATAGGGCCCAGCTAATGAAAGAACAATTGCAGCGCAAGCTGCGTGAAGGCCAACCTGTGCCCACTGCACGCACAGCTGGGCACATTAAAACTTGTCTTTTTTTTTTTTGTAAATTCAGCTTTTGTTTTGTTTTGTTTTTTCCCCATTTTTTTCCCTCTCATTTTCTTTTCTAACTACACCTACAAAAGCTCCTCAAAAATCACACCAAAATCTCCACTATTGAAGATGTCCTTATGTATATGCAACAAATTATATGTATGTGAAAGCACATAATATGCAATTAACATATTATGTATATACAGTTTACATAGTGTCTATAGTTAATATGTACTTTCAATTTATTTTCAAAGATGTAATTATTAACTGAAAGTACATAATATATTAACGACAAACACATAATTTTTGAACCAAGATCCATAATATAAAGTGGCATGGTGTAACAATTGAATGCCTGAGAGATTGGGGAAGTTGATATGGTAACAGCTTGCGATGCACAAACTCTACAATAGGAGGCTTTAAATAAAAGTTCCGAATTTCAATCCACATTCCTCTTTTTCCTTGTTTAAAAAAAAAAAAAAAAAATTACAAACCTTAATACAAACTCCAACCCCTCAGCTTAAAAAATAGCCCACCCCACATACAGGATCAAAATGTTTCCACCATACAACATTTAATACAATAAAAAATAATAATTACAAGCTCAACAAGAATCAAAATATAGACAACTAAGCAACAATTTGTTCCTTTCTTCTCACAGAACAGTATTTATGTGAAGAGCTTTAAGAAGTGAAGTTGCCATTTGCTTCACCAAAACCTGCCCACCTGAACTTTGTCCATCTCTGCGCTCTTCAATTAGATTTTGAAGCTTTTGAGGAAGATCATTCTCCACAATTAGCTGCTTAGGACGTGGATGGTGCTCATACACAGCCTGCCACCCAAATAATAAAACTCGATAGTCAGCAATCTGATTGATGCAGAGACCATGGCCTATGTGTAGTGTGTACCTTTACAAGGACAACGGCTCCTAATTTTGCCACTACAGTTTTTCACTGTTGTTCACATATACCAAGCTTCATAACTATTTAATTCCCAACAAATACAAATCTATCAGATCAAGACAACTTCATCTCAACTCAAATAAGCCGGTGTCTGTCTAATTGGTTCTATTTATTTTATATATAGACTGCTTGATGCTTTCTGATGACAAAGTTCAGCACAACTATCTTATAGTATCGTATCTATTGTGTGATATAAATTCATCTATTTCTGAGATCAGACGACAGAATGGAGAGGGGTCGATGTAAGCACTTTATTTCACTTGTAGCTAGCTATTATATTTGGCAACCTTGTAGGTGAAACATGAATCTCAATATCCCATTCTTAACATCACTTAGAAATAAGGAAATTAATAACTAAAAATTATTTTCTTACTTTTATCAACTTCAGCAGGTTAAGACGAGCTATAGCATCCTGATGATCAAGCCTAGAAATCAGCAATGGAGTCAAACCATTGACAGCCAGAGTGGTGTTTATTCGTGATGATTTCCTGCATTTAAAATTGATCATACTATTAAGAAACAAAACCAGTTGGAGGATACAATTACCAAGACTAGACAAATTGATCCACTTTGAAAATGTATTTGCAGTATAAAAAGCTAAACTTGGAGAAGCCACATACGTGATAATCTTTAAGAATGGCTCCAGTATGTGCAGAAAATGCTGCTCTGGGCAGCACTGGAAGAACTTAACCAGTTTTTGTATAGCATCCTTTTTAAGTAATGCTTGTTCTAGCTTCCTGCTGTCATTGTCATGTGCCAAACAAACAGCAATGGAATCTAATGCAGTTACAGACCAGAGCTCATCTTCAAGAAGGCTCAGGTACACATCCAATCCACCGTGTGCTCTTAACTGCTCCCTAGAATTGCGTGATGCATGAGCCATATCGCATAGAAGAGGCAAAGCATATTGTTTCAATGGAGAACCAGACATTATAAAATGCATCAAATGTGGGATAATTCCATTTTCTGCTGCCTGTTCTTGTCTCCTCTTATTGATCTTGCAGAGGTTGAATAATGCATTGAGAACCTTAAGAAAAAAAAAAGGTGAGAATGGCATCCGCAAGCATAGTATATTTGCACAATTCGTTATAAACAAAATAAGCAGACAATAGAGGAGGAGCTTGGTTCTTCAAGTTCGTGCAATAGCAGAGCACAATGTGGAACTTCAGTTTTTACTGCCTCTATTTCAATGCAGATAACAAAGTATAACTTCCCTATCGACATTAAGAGTCAAAAGTTTGAGAATCTGAACCAATTTGATATAAGTTAAAATCCATTAGGTGCAGACTAAAGGACCAACAACAGCCTCAGAAGAATAGAGAACTGTATATTATTAGTTTTCAGTCTGTTCCAAGAATATTTAACATTTCAACCATAAAGCCTACTTGTCAAACCAATAACTAAAAGGTCCTCATCATTAAGAATCCATATTTCTTTAATAAAAAAGAAGTCAGTATGCTTGAAATCACAGAATATTGGCTCCACATTGAGATAAAGTTAGAGCGAATATGCAACTTAACCATGACCATTGTGATCAAAGGGTGAGCAATTACCCACTAAACCAAACCCCCTATGTTCACAAGTGGAGCTTTTTACATTCTTGTCTAGCAATATTGTACATAATATCATCCAACAACCACTGTGGACAGAACATAAAGTTGAATAGGCTAACCTCATGATGGATTTGAGGAACGAGAGGCCCCTCTTTGAGGTCAAGGTTAGGAATCAGATATTTGATTGCATCTGCTCGCTGAAGATGTTCTAAGCAGTGTGGGTCGGTCGAAAGGTGATTAATACACTTCAACAACTAAAAAAGGCATGGACATGTAATACAGTGACCAGTCAGAAAGCAGAAAGTGGGAAAAAGGGAAACCTCAACTTCTGATATCAAAATTCTCCATACCTTCAAAAGAATAGGGGGCTCTATTCTATTAAACATCTGAAAAAGACGGCTAAGCAAGCTTTGACTACACATGTAGGATTTTACTGTTGTATCTGCCGCAGCAAACTCAAGTAGAAGGTCTGCTACCTTCTCCAAATATTCCCTAGCAATGTCAGCATTCCAAGGTGATACCATATGTGAAAGCAATCCAGAAGATGTTGCACTTCCAGGTCTAGCATTTAGAACTCCTGATCCAGATAATACACCTGATGCAGTCTGAGATGCAAGTCCAGAGGTGGATGCAGTTCCCTCAGTAGAAGCCACTTGACCTACCTTCTTATTTGCAGCTTTTGGCGTACCTTTAGGTAATGTCTCAGTGTTAGTATTTTCTCTTGCACGTAAAGAAACCTCTGCAGAGTCATCACTCATCAATAAGCCATAATTTAACAGAATAATAACACATGCTTGAGAAAAGAAGAAAAGTGAAATGACTTCTATAAGGTAATGCATTGGAGTAAGGAGTTTTGTACATAAGTTGAAATGTCAAGCTAGCATGAAAAAGTTAGAAAAGAGCCAGAAATTAATACAATACATAGGAAAAGCAGTAACTAGCCAGATGCCATTACCTGCAAACTCTGCCATCAAGAAATCCAAGCCATTTGTCTTCTTATCATTAGAAGAAGTATGAAGTAGAGGAAGTATACTATCATGTTTCTCCAACCCTGTGAGATGGCGAACATACTCAAGCTGACCAGAATAATGGCGAGATGGGGGTTCCTTATCCAACAAACTAAGAAGTGGTCGAACATTCTCTTGCTGGGTAGCTGATGCGACTGAAACTCCATTTGAGGTCCCTTCTGCAAATTTTGGAGGCCTGTCAGTGGATGTTCTATTTGCAGTAGCCCCTCTTTGCTGCCTAAGTTCAACCTCAGCCCGAGAAACATCATTTTTATATCGATCAACACTTTCCCGATCTTTGGATGCAGAATCCTTAGATGATACATTGGCTGCATCAGGCAAATTTGAAGAACCAGAAGCTTCTGCTGTCGCAATTCTATCACTTTCCAGAGAAAAGAATCTGGAATCTGGCGACTGAGAAGATGTGCGTGAAGGTTCTTGTGCACCAGCAGGCAAAACATGATCTCCATGCTTATGCTTGAGTAAATCTGGCTGATCAGCTCCATAAAGTGATGCATCATTCTGCATAAAAGAGGAATTGCTAGGATCTAGAGAACCAGACCGTGGTCGTGGAAGTAAGACATCTGCTGGAAACCCACCTCCAGAAGCTGAAGCAAGACGAGTTGCCTCATTCAAGCTATAAAGCGTGTTTATAAGCCTGAGCAGTATACCATTTTTTGCAGCTATACGGCAAAAATCATTTCTAGGTGTTGAACGCTGAAGCTTAAATACCTGCCACATGCCATCAATAGCCATATGCACCATTTCCCTGAATTTGGAAAGAAAATTACTTTTAGTGATTGTACTTTCATATTTATATATGTTTACGGATCATGCACAACTATGCAGCAAACTTAAAATTATGCAGGAAAAAGAAAAAGAAGATAGAAAGTGAAAGATTGGAAGGGAGGGGGGCAGAGGCATTCTCAACATTAAAGAGTCACACCTCTGGAAGAAGCAAACATTTCTGGTGTACAAAAGAAACAGGGTACCTTGAACAATAACTTGATAAACAA